GTGAGGAGTCACATCTGGCTCTCATCTGAGATGGTCACACCAGAGCATTTGCCTCCTGGGCAGATGTAAAGCATTCATAGCAATCCACAAAAGGGCTTGTTTATCCCAGAGGGCACACCCGGGATGCGTGTCCTGCCCACTCTTGGAATTGTGTAGTGACCCAGCTTATATGCTGTAGTGTGCCAGAGACAACTCCAAAGTATGTTAATATAGACTAATGTTAGTTTTCCCTGGAAGTGACCCTGAGACCTACGTAAAGCTGTGCTGTACTGTCTGGTAGTACATCACTGACCCAGCCAACAGTAAAGGTTTCCAGTTTCTGTCAGTCTGGTCTTGGACTTTTGGGTGACACTGTGGGGATGAAGGGACATCCTCCTGTGATCCCCACTTGAGAACTTGGAGAGCAGTTTGTCTCTCTCCAAGAAGAAAGCCTGCTGATCCTTTGCACTTCCATTCCAGTGTGTAACACTCTGGTCCTATGCGTGTTACCAGTAGCAGTTGATAGAAATTGTGTGTGTTGAAATAGCATTTGTAATTTAATATGGAAATATTGAACTAAGGTGGTCAGCTAAAAGTCCAGAATGTTTGTTATGACAACAGTCTTTCCTCCTGGTAGAGGGTTTTGTATTAACATCATACTCAGTGTTTAATGTGAATCAATTTACTAGCGTGTTTTTAACAAGTCACCACAGTTGCTCATTATTACAGCACATGATGAGCCCTTGGTACTTTAATTAAGTGTGGGGAAAATATTTTATTTACCCCTGAGTAAATAAATAAGCGAGTGAACTGTGAATTGTGTCTTTCTCATTTACCTAGTTAATGATAACATGGTAACATTTATAATACCACTCTAGTAGACTCAAGTATTGATTACACTATATTGGTTTTCTGTAAAATTAGGTAAATTCATTTAAGTTGATTTGCTTACCTAATTCTAGGTGAAATTATAAAATAACCATATTGTTGCCCAGCCACAGTGGCTGAGTCAGTTGAGCTTTATCCCGTGCACTGAAAGGTTGTAGGTTCAAGTCCCAGTCAGGGCACATATCTGGGTTGTGCATTCAACCCCTGGTGAGGGCATGTATGGAAGGCAGCTGATCCATGTTTCTCTCTCACATGTATCTCTCTCTCTCTCTCTCTTTCTCTCTCTCTCTCTCTCTCTCTCTCCCTTCTCCTGTCTAAGCACGTCCTCCGTCCTCGTGGATGCAAGGATTAAAAATAAAAAATAACCATAGTGTTACTACGCATAGGCTGTACCAAGTGCTCTATGTAAATTCTCTCTCAGACATCACTCAAAGCAGCCCTAGGAGGTCAGTATTGTTACTATTTACAGACAAGGAAACCAGGCTTTAAAAGGTTGTCACTTGCTACAGGTGGAGGATAGGGCTTTCGATTCTGTTTTCTAAGTTTAGCCATCTGATATTTCAGGGCCTGTAGATTTTAACTATCTCTCACTTCCACCACCCTGTCTATTCCTTGTGCCTTCTCCTTGTCCCCCTTTTGTAGAATCCTATATAATAAAAAGCTAATATGCAAATTATCCCCTCGGGAGTTCGACCAACTAGGAGTTTGACTGCTTACTATGATGTACGCTGACCACCAGGGGGCAGCACGTCACGAAGGAAGGCCCCAATCAGCCCTGACGGCTGGCCAGGCTTAGGGACCCTACCCATGCACGAATTTCATGCACTGGGTCTCTAGTTTACAAAATAAAATCCAAACCTTTGCCTCTGCACAGTGGTATCTTCCCCATTCTGCCCCCCACACTGTATTCTAGAGAAAAGCTACACATTTTGTTCATAGATAGAGGTAGCACATAAGAGAGTACAGATAGGAAGAAAACAGGCCACTGTGTGGGTAGCCACTATGGTTCCGAAGGCAGGCCACAGGCTGCACTCTGAATCAGCGACATCCCAGCAAGACCTGAATGATGAGTGGGAGTTCCCCAAGTGAGGGATAGACATGGGGTGGGGTGTGATGGAGAATGCTACTCAGAGAGCACTCGTGCACATGCCTGTGGGCAATCCAGCTCAGTGCATCCATAGACTTGAACTGCGTGCACTCATCACAGGCAGCCCTGTTTCACTGCGAGCTGCAGCAGCTGAAGTCGAGTGGCCATATTGTGAAGGTTAGAAGTTTGGGCTTCATCCTGATGGCAGTGGAGAGCCAGCACAGTCCTTTAAGCCAGAGAATGACAAAATTTCTGATCTTCCCCATCCGCTCTTCTCCTTACATGGTTCGTTTCCTGCACCCCAGCCTTAGTGGGGGGCGGGGGGTTCCCTGGCTCTGTCCTTGGCCTCCTGCCCTCCCAGGGACCCCAGTGGGTAGTCTCTTCCACTCCAGGGTTTCACCTAGATGATGATAAATCCTAGATGTGCTTCTCTGAGCCACACCGGCCTTCTGTGCATTACACTATAGACACTTTGCACAACCCAAAACTGACCTTACTATCTTTCCCCCAAAATCTGCCATTTCTTCTAGATCAGTGGTTCTCAACCTTCCTAATGCCGCGACCCTTTAATACAGTTCCTCATGTTGTGGTGACCCCCAACCATAAAATTATTTTTGTTGCTACTTCATAACTGTAACTTTGCTACTGTTAGGAATCATAATGTAAATATCTGATATGCGGGATGTATTTTCATTGTTACAAATGGAACATAAAGCATACTGATTAATCACAAAAACAGTATGTAATTATATATGTGTTTTCTGATGGTCTTAGGCGACCCCTGTGAAAGGGTCGTTCGACCCCCAAAGGGGTTGCGACCCACAGGTTGAGAACCACTGCTCTAGATCATCTGTCCCCGGGAAGCCCCGTTCTCTATAGGCAGTGAAGCCAGATACGTAGAAGCCTTCTTCCTGAATCGGAGCTGAAGACTGTGAGTCCAGTTCCTCCACATTTAACATCTGTGCCACCCATACTCTCTTTGCTGAGCTGCACCGGCCCTCTTTGCCTGGAGAGAGAGCTCCCACTGTTTCCACTTCCAGTTACACCCATCAGCCCGGCCTCCACTTCTGGAAGGGACCTTTTGGAAAGGCACATCATTGTTTTATAACTTCCTAAAACTGCCCAGGGGCACCCTTTAGGCACTGAGGCCAACCGACCTCTCCACCCTGGAACTCCTGTCCTGCCCCACAACGCCCTGTGCCCTATCCAGCCATGTTCAACTGTCTGTTTAACCTTGTTGAACCCCTTGTTCCCGCAATGCACACGGTGTTTGGCCTTCTCCTGCCTCCTCCTGGTGTGCCTCCTCTCCCACCTGCTGACTCCTAACTACATCTTTTTCAAATCTCTGTTCTAGGAAAACCCTTTAAAAACCATTTCTGAATTTGCCATTATCAGAGTAACGGGAGCAAACATTTACACAGTGCTCACTGCATGCCAGACAGTGTTCCAGGCACTTTACTTGCAATGACTTTTTAACCCTCACAATCCCCTTATCTGCATTCTACAGAAGAGGAAACTGACACACTGGGACTCAAGGTCGCAGAGCTAGAAAGTGACAGAGCCTAGATTCAGAGCCTGGCAGAGTCCCCGTTGGGACTGCTGTGATGTGGCCTCCCATAGCACTTGCAACACCTTACGGACCTTTAGCTGGAGCCTGTGTGGCTTTTACTACTAAGGAACAAGGCTCTTCCGGGTGGGGGTGAGGTTTGTATTGGTTTTGCACCCCGGGCCTTAGAGCACCTGCCCCGGCTGAGGCAGCGGTCAGATT